CGCTGGTGTAAATAAATCCCTCACGTTCCCATGAAGTGGTAGGCCAGCCAGTGTCTGCCCTGACCACTGCTCCTCCATGTTGGCTCAAGTCAGGGAGCCTCCTCGGTCTATAGGAGAGAACCCACTTCTTTTATCTGAGCCACAGTTAACTGCTGTTTTGAGGCATCCAGGATAACAGAAGAAAAACTGCACACCCATTTTAAGGGGCAGCCTGGGGTTTAGAAACTCGTTTGCACCCGGTTCTCTGATTTCCTGGGAAATCCTGCTAATCTTTGAAAACATGCAAGCTTCATGTTGGGTCAGAGTTGCCTAGATGGATGGATGGTCCCTATTTGCCCCCTGTGTAAGGTGTGTGCTAGGCCCAGTGTTTCTTTAAGATCTCGCCTGTGTTGTTTGCAGCGGAGGGAAATGGAAAAATCCTAACTCTATGTGACTTTCCCCATCCCAGTTCAGCTTGGTGAGTAGGTTCTGAATGTACCTAAGACCATCAACAGCTGCCCCAGAAACCTAAAAAGTTAACAGGTTTGCCGGCTTTATGTGAATAATCCAAGAAAGCAAATGTGTAAGGCCCGAGGCAGGGCTCCTTACTTTCATTCAGACATGTGTGCCCTGCCTCCACCCAAATTAACAAGAGCTCTAGTCCAAACAGGAGCTTCTTTTTTCTTTCCACTATGTAGAGGCACTGTGAAGCTCACCTGCTTTACACATGAAAGGCACAGTCAGGGAGAGGTGTAAATGCAAAGTTGCCAAATAGCACAAGCAATGAATGTTTTCTTGTCTATAGATGCCAAAATAGCACTTTTGTATTTACAAAGTGCGTTTTGCTTTTTAATGATTGTTAGTGTTTCTCACGTCTTTTGAGGTAAATCAGTATTATAAATTCTGTCTTGGGAAAGGCCTGGGGTTAGGAGTGTGGTAGGTCATCTTGAAGGAAGGTAGTGGGACTGTGACTAGGTGTGGCTTGATCTTTTGTGTTCTCCAGCTCAGCTGCTAGGAAGATTTACCTGTTAGGATTAAATAAAGTGAGGACCCTGAGCATTCCAGTGCTTGATGGAAGACTTAAAGAATAGAAGGACCAACGATGCCCTCACTGGCAAAGCTGGTCTTTGTCCATGTTCCATTTCTAGTAGGGACTGCAGTGAAATGACTTGTACAGACTTTGGTTACCTACACTGAAAGTCCCTAGGTTAGCCTTTAGAAGTTAATGTTGTGGCAAACACTTTTTTTCTTCACTAACATTTGTTACACTAGACCATTCATAGGAACGTCTTCACAAACTGTTGGATGCAGTTGAAGGGGGAGCCCTACAAGATTGTTTTTACAGTTTCAGCGAAGTTTCTGTGAATGCTAGCAATTTATACTTGATCATTTGTATTTTAGTGATGGATCTATTTGAGGACTGTGGGAAAGCATGTTTTCGTCATTCTAAGAACACTTAAAGAAATTCTGGGCTTGTATATTGCCTGCTGATCTTGTCCACTTGATCTGTTTATTGTTACTCACAAATGAAAAATGGATGTTCACACTAGGGATAGTTTTGAAAAACTCTAATTCTTTATAAATTTTCTTTAGTGTAGAGTTATACATGCGAAGTCTGTGCCCATTATTTATTCGACTCTTGTAGTCTGAATACTGAGTGCATAAGCTCTGTTAAATATGATATGGCCTCATCGTAGGTAATCCTATTCTTTTGTGGTATTTTCTCATGCACATCTACCTCTTCCAGCTGTGTTAAATTCTCTTAAGTCTGTGCCTATGAAATGTCATCCAGCATTTGATTCTTCATAGATTTGTTAGCCTTTTTGTTTTGTTTTTGTTTTGCCTTTCGTTGCCATCATCCCATACAGTTAACCAGTATTAAATGTGTTACATATCAACAGCTGCAGAAAGAGGGTTCAAGGGGAGTGGGTATGGAAGCCAGGTGATGGAAATCTTTGGACTTTTCTCTCATTCTTTGTATTACCATGGCTAAGATAGTCAGCTACTGTTAGTGTCCTGTGAGAAAACTCCTTAACAGAAGAAATCATTCAACCACCAACACCCCACTCCCATGGTATATTTAAATTATGATTCCCTTTTTTCTTATACCTCTTCAGGGAACATATGTGCATTGAGTGAGGTTGCATGCATTTGATTTTTTTCTGCAAACCTTCTTGACTGTGGTTCACACTTGAACATGTTAATCTAATGATTCCTTCCTCCAGCTCATTAATGATGGCGGAAGTATTTGTATTTTCTGGGGAGTTTGGTAAGGTGCAGGCTTCCTTTGCTATTTTTTACTAAGCCAAATTTGGAGCAGTTTAAAAGCTTAAATGGTTTGGTTTAGCCTTGAGTTCTGAGGCAGAAAGAGAAGAAGCACTCAACTCTGAGCCATGTGGTCTCTTTACAAGCAAGAGGCTGTACATATGTGAAAAAATACAAATTAAGAATCTCTGTTCATAGACAATCTGAACTGTTTCTGAAGTTTGTGCACATTTTTTCATTGTGATGTTATTTTACATCTGTTTAAGTAACAAGTAATTTAATGATCCTAAGAATACCAGATTCTGTGTGAGTGCGCTTGTGTACATGAGAATTGCCTTCTTTTCAGGTTGTTTTTATTTAATGATGGTTCCTTGAACAATATCCTGGTGTTCAGCAACCAATATGGAATATTTGTCATTAAATTCATATCGGTCTTTTATCACGACTTTTTTTTATTTTTATTTGTCACACCTTGTTCATCCCTCAGATCAATACTTGGGAGCTATGTGCTGGTAAAATGGGTTGGTAAGCTACCCAGTCTGGCTTGCCACTTGGGAAATGAAATGTTATTGGAATACAGTAGATGGTCTGAGGTATGGGGAGGAGCACACACTAGATCACGGTCATGAAAGAGCTTGGAGCCGTGTGAATGTACAGTTCAGTTGTTCCCGGAGATGCAATGGAGGTCCTGAAGTTTGTGATCAACTTCTAGGAACCATGGTGGAGGGCAGGACCAGTGGCTGTACCTGTGGACGGTGCCTTCTAGGACCTCCATCTCCTGAAGTGGGAACAAGAAGGAATGGGAGCACATGGTCTTCACTTCCCTTGGGACAGAGGAACCAATTCTCCTTTCCTCTTAGTTGGCTTTGTTGAGGGGTGAGCAGGTTAGATCTTGGCATCAAGTAGCAGGTGTCTCAAGCAATGCCTTGGAGTTTTCTCAGTGTCTGTTTGTCTCTAAGAAGACACCACCATCATCGGTGTAATGTTTAGTGGTTGCCAAAGGGCTTCGAACCCACCTGGGAAATACTAGAGCTCAATGTAGGAGTGACAGGAGGCCCTGCCGAAGTGAGTGGTCAGTGCTGCAGTGGAGGTGGCCACATATGAGAGGGGACAGCCTCTTGGTGAGCTGCCGCTTGCTCCAGACCCTTCATAGTCCCCGGAGGAGTATGATGCCCCTTTACAGACAGGTGCCCAGAATGATGCCTTGTTCAAGGCAACATTAACATGTTGAAGTTATGTTTCACTTTCTTCAAATGGGGCTGGAAAAGGAAACTACATTCTCACATCACTTTGCCTTCATGCCACACACAGATCCTCAGATGCGGGAGTATGTTACCAGAAAGCAGAGCTGTACAAGTTTGGAGAAGGCAGACCATGTAAGCCATCTTTTAGTTGCCCTGTGTCTTTGAGTCCTCCAAGAGGGAAGATTTCCCCTATCCCCTTTTCAGCCAAGGGCTAGCAAATATTAGATCACTATTCTAGGTGGGGTCAGAGTCCACTGTGGAGACAGCTGTACTTGGCAACCTCTGATGCACTTTGTAGCATCTTATACATTCTAGTCCAGGATTCCTTCCATTAGTTCTCTTTCCTTCCTTTTTTAAAATTTATTATTTTTATTTTATATGTATACGTGTATTGCCTGCATGTAAGTAAGTGCACCCATGTGCAATGCCTGTGGAGGACAGAAGAGGCCATTGGATCCCCTGGAACTGGAGTTATGGACAGTTGTTAGCTGCCATGTGGGTGCTGAGATTCGAACCTGGGTCTTCTGCAAGAACAGTTAGTGTTCTTTACTGCTGGGCCATCTCTCCAGCCCCATCTTTCCTTACTTCTAACTTTAAGTAGTCATACAGTGCTCATTCTGAGATAGCTATGTAAAAACATCTGAGTATAGGTTGTTAGTGCCGGGCCCCCATGCTGCCATCCCAGAATCCACAGACTAGTGAGTTGACAGACAAGCTAATGAGAAACCACACTGCACCATGACAGGTGCCTGGCAGAGGGAGGCTTCAGCCCTTCTTGGCAGCATGGAGACTCCCTGGGGGGAAGGTAACTTAAAGGAGGGGGCGGGCAGAGGGACAGGTGCATAGGGGAATGCCATGAGTTGCTGGCAAGAAGCTTTGGAGGAGGCCTTGTGTGTCTGGAGCATGTTCTAATGATGGTACAAGGTATGACAACAGATGTTATAAAGCAATCCCCTAGTTCCTGGCTATACCCTCCCCAAATCTGTGTATTCTTAGCTCTTCACTCACTGGTCTATAGTCTCCCCTTTCTATCTGTAAGTGTACTAGGCTTTTCTTCAGTAGCTGAGTGGCAGTTAGGGTCCAGCCCAGCTCTACTGCTGATGATTTGGGTGATCTTAGACCAGTCACTTCCCCATCAAGCCTTAGTGTTCTCATTGATAAATAGGGACCAGAAAGATCCCATACCATCAGGCTGGAGGAAAGATGATCACAGTCAGCGCTGGATGCATAATTTAGCCACTAAATGTAAAACTGGATTCTGGAGCCTGCGTAACCCATTAAGCAGAGCACAGGGCCCTGCACACTGTCCTTCTGTGTGTGCACAGGATACTGTTGGCCATGCTGCTA